TTCGTTCGTTCGTTCGTTCGTTCGTTCGTTCGTTCGTTCGTTCGTTCGTTCGTTCGTTCGTTCGTTCGTTCGTTCGTTCGTTCGTTCGGTCTTCGTTCGTTCGTTCGTTCGTTCGTTCGTTCGTTCGTTCGGTCGTTCGTTCGTTCGTTCGGTCTTCGTTCGTTCAGTTCGTTCGTTCGTTCGTTCGTTCGTTCGTTCGTTCGTTCGTTCTTCGTTCGTTCGTGTTTCGTTCGTTCGTTCGTTCGTTCGTTCGTTCGTTCGTTCGTTCGTTCGTTCGTTCGTTCTTCGTTTCGTTCGTTCGTTCGTTCGTTCGTTCGTTCGTTCGTTCGTTCGTTCGTTCGTAGTTCGTTCGTTCGTTCGTTCGTCGTTCGTTCGTCTTCGTTCGTCGTTCGTTCGTTCGTTCGTTCGTTCGTTCGTTCGTTCGTTCGTTCGTTCGTTCGTTCGTTTTCGTTCGTTCGTTCGTGTTCGTTCGTTCGTTCGTTCGTTCGTTCGTTTCGTTCGTTCGTTCGTTCGTTGTTCGTTCGTTCGTTCGTTCGTTCGTTCGTTTCGTTCGTTAGTTCGTTCGTTCGTTTCGTTCGTTCTTCTCGTTCGTTCTTCGTTTCGTTCGTTCGTTCGTTCGTTTCGTTCGTTCTTCGTTCTTGTTTCGTTCGTTCGTTCGTTTGTTCGTTCGTTCGTTCGCTCGCTCGTTCTCTCCCTGCCGCGTCTCGTTTTCTCCTGCCTCCTTTGTTTGCTCTTGCCCCTCCCCCATTCTGCTCCTTCTCGTCCTCTCCCCTTCTCATTTTACACCGGCCTATGTTTATAGATTTACAAACAACAAATACATCATTAAATTATTGTTCTCTATATTATGTTACGTCTGTCTGTCTGTTTGTCTGTTAAAATGTCTGCTATTGTCTATATATCACTTTTCAATTGCAGTTTATGTTTATATTTGAAGATGCTCTTATTTTTTGTTGTTACTTTTTTTTATTTTTCCATTAAAATTTATTATCATTGCTGTGTAAATTGCATTGTTATTGTTTTAGCTTCAAATTCTAGATTATGTATAACAACAATTGTTTTTCACTGTTTATGTTAGATATACCTACCCTTCAGGGTGGAGAGAAAGACATGTTCAGGTGTTTGTTATTCATAATCTGTAATTTGGATCATCCAGTTAGTTATAGAAAATTAGAATTGCGTATGAAAAAAATGAATTAGTCATCATTTTGAAATTATTTAATAAATTCGTAGCCTGCTTTTGATTTCACTTAGATTCCATAAAACTTTTCGTCTAAAATATCTGCTTAGGAAATGCCCCTAGCTCTGAGTTTAGGCTTTTTTGAGTGAGTGTAGATTAAAATATTGTCGTCTTTGACCGATTAATAACTTCATACTTGAACTTTTTTCTAAATACATACATATGTAGTTGCTAATTACTTAAATATTGCTTGTTAAACCTTTAATATTCCACTAAATTCAATATTATGTCAATTGTTTATTATTAAGAATTGAAATTTTTCAATTACTTCTTTTATGAAATTCGTGTTTCCTTCTTACAAAGATAGATTATTCTCTAAAATAGTAATTTCGATCGATGCACATTATCTATTTGAACATTATGTACTGTTATGAACATTTTCAAGAAACTGAGGACCTTTTCAGAGAAATATATTTTTTATTTTTTTCGTATTTAGTACATTAATACGCACCGTATTCCTACAAAAAATTGGTTCAGATAAAAAAAAAAATGTTTTCAAAAAAATTTTTTTTTTTTTTTTTTTTTTAAATTTTCCTAACAAAATTTTTCCCAAAAAGCCACACTGCATTTCGGAGAAGTGTACATGAACACAGTTAAGTCAAGCATTTTATTAAATTGGCATTTTGCTGCTAGCAGTTATTTGAATATTTTTTTGTTACAACATATGTATGTATGTAAATCGTTTTATTTCCAAAATTGTTTATATGTATGTATATATTTACTCTTTTTTTCTATTATTTGCTTATATCATCAATTTTGTATTTGTTTAAGATAAAAACATATATACAAATATTTGTAAAATTTAGGTTAAAATTGTGTTTTTCCCATAAACAGTATTGATTTTGGTTGGTAAAAAATAAAAATTTGTTTAAGTCAAATAAAGTGAAAGTGTGTTTAATTCAAGGTTTAAATGATTCATAACCTACACCAATAGCGTGCAAAATATTTACTTAAATTATAGCTCAGAGTTAGTGGTGATATATTTAAAAATTTTAAATATTTCACCAATTTTTTCGCATACGATTCCACCAAAAGTTCTCTTTAATCTTCAGCAATCTTTTGTCAAGTAGTAAATAATTTATTATTTATATATTTACTGTATCCCAAAAGCAACAGAATCTAAAAGTGAAGTAAATATTAAACCGATAGTACGAGAAAACAAAAACGTTCACATTTTTCTACGAAACACTCTAAATGATTTAGTATAGTCGCTCATTGTCACCAAGTGTTGATGTATGTTTTAGATGCCTTTGGCTGCTTGTGTCCAAATTATTTCAAAACGACACATAGGAATTTCTGACAGGGTTAAGAATTGTAAGGCCTTGACTACACAGGGCCACAAAGAGTCATTCATTACTCTAGAAAGCTTTTGCATTACTTACTCAAGAATGATTTCTGCAGGCCTTAAGGACAAGAGGTGATAATAATTACATTAAGCAGGCTTAGGGCATAATGATTATATTAAGTAATTCATTACTTGGTCAATAACAATTCCTTGTAATGTGTAATTGAGAAATAACCAAATAATGCTAATTACTATTATTTTAAATTGTTAAAAAAGGTAAAAATTACAAGTAATTGTAATTCAAATTCCAATATAATTAAATAAGAATTCTAATTACTTGTAATGTAATTGAATTATAATTTCAATAGCTTTTAATGTAATTGAATTACAATTACTACTAATGTAATCTTCCAATCCAGATATTAAGTAATATATTACAGAACAATAAGTAATTAATTGTATTCTTTGGAATTATTATTTTTTTGTAATTGAGCTATTGCATAAAATTGTAATTGGCATTACTTCAATTACAATTATAAGTAATTATAATTATATTAAAATAATAAATCCAAAATATTAAATAGTAATATTTCACAATTACTTAACAATTACAATTAAAATAGTTGCAATTACACATAAATGTAATTTGTAATATTTAAATTACAATTAAAAGTAATTGGCAAAGATTCAATGGTAAGTGATTGTAATTGGAACAATTTTAATTTCAAATACTTTTAAAGTATTAAAATCAGACAAGTTTTTTACTAATATTTTTGGCTTGAGGAGTAATGATTACATTTTCTGTTACAATTACAATTGTAATTAAAGTTTTTTCTTTTACAATTACTTGTAATTATAACTGAAGTTCTGCCAAATACAAATATTTGTAATCGTAATTAAAGATTTCAATTACTTGTATATAATTAAAATTTTGCCAATTACAATTAGTTGTAATTGTGAATTTTTTTTCTTGTAATTACTTGTAATTTAGAATTACAAATACCTAAAGAAGCAATTGTAACTTCAAGCAATTGTAATTGACAAAACAAAAATTACAATTACAAGTAAATGTTATTGCTTAATGGTAAATTACACATTACAGGAAATTGTAAGTGGAAAAACTTCAATAAAAATTATAAGTAATTGTAATAGATTATTGCTCAATAACACATTGTAATTGACTATGTAATGAATTACTTTGTGTAATCATTACCCACTTAAGCATATCCTTTATTGAAAGAAGAATGTAGGTGCTCTATGTAAAGTACCAGGCCTTTTAAAAACGTTCCTTAAGACTGGATTCAAAAAATTGCTTTTTTTGTTAATGTTTGTTTTTGTGTGATTTTGGACATACAGTCTCAAAATAGTGATGGTGACTAAAGTTCAAATAATGTGAAAGTTTGTCAAGTGTTTGTGTTATTTGGCCTCCTCACATTGTTTATGTGACCCTTTTATAGCACATTGATATTCTGAAACTATCAGGACCCGTCATATCGCGGTGGCCATCAAAATTATTTCCGGTTATAAACTAAGACACGTGACCATTTATTTTAACACGAATATCAAATAACTTTTCAGTTTATTTGTTTACTAGTGGACTCTGGGCTCTGCAATAGATTACTTTTGGCGGGTCAAATAACTAGTTGCTAGTATATAGTACAATAAAAAGTTTAACATGACTTTGTTGCTCTTTGTTAAGATTGCTAAATTAAAAATTCATCTCATCCTGAGACCATAAATCGTCGATATACAAAGAGCTCTCGAATGTGCTATATGAATCCAAATTTTTATTCTCGTGTAAATCCAAGAGTACAAAAAAGTTCTTAAGAGAGCTCATTGCATAGAGCTGTCTTAAAGCATACATCGGCAAAAAGAGCTTTCTTATACTCTTAACCTAACTTTAAGCTTAAAAATACATAAAAAACTATCAAAATCATTAATAGTCTTCTCATGTTTACATTATGCCGATTACAGGCCTAAATAGAGGATTGAATTACTCTCTCCAAAAAAGAGAGCATAAGTCAAATGATTGAACATTTGAATATATAAATAACTCGAAAGAATGTTCACCATTAACTCCATTTAAAACTACTGGGGGTCTCTACACAAACACTCTACCAGCACACTCGAGTGCACACTCTAAAATTTCCAAAGGAAATAAAACAAGGACAATATGACTCTCCCACACCCTCTCGTATGGTACTCACTAACTTTAACCAAATAAACTAAACCAAAACAACAACATTTGTTATATGTATATAAAATTGTATGTTGCTTTTGTTGTTGCTGTTGAACCCACAATTTTTGTTTATAGAACTGCCGTTGCCGTTGTTGCTATTTTTGTTTGGAACCAAAGGTCTAGTCAATGGTTTCACTTTTTTTTTTTTTGCTCCTTCTAGAAATTTAAGTTCATTTTTTTCCTTTGTAGGTCAATTTGTTTCGTTTCTAGTTGTGAGTTTGTGTTTTTTCCATTTGGTTTAAAAGATAAATGAATATTTTGTATGCTGGTCGAAAAATTTTTTTTTGCTGATTTTTGTTTTATCTGCATTTCAAGTTACGACTATTTGTACCCATAAACTTAAAAATATAGACTTTGTTTTTGGTAAAACAAACAGAGAAATAAAATTCACTTACCATTACGATTTTCACTATCGGCGGGTTTCATTTGTATGGGATGATACATCTGCAAGGAAAATAAGAATATTATTTAAATATTATATTCATAAAACAAAAATTTAAAACTATTTTAGAGCAAATATAGTACAAACTGTTCAAAACTATGTAAAAGCCATAAAAAGCCTAATATTAGGCTACTCTTTGTATATAATTAACACTAATTTACTGCTTCAAAAAAACCATTTTAATATTAATAATTCTTATACAAACAAATTTAAATTAAATACCAAATCCCTTAATTATAATCCTCTGAACTTGTCAGCACTTTCTACTAATCCTCTACTATAAAAAAAGACAAATAACGTTAATAACTAGCACCAAACCAACTAACTCATAATTCATACTTAAAAACAATTTATGTAATAAAAAAGAAGAAAATTTATAACAAATACTTATCTCTAATTCCAAATACCAAACACCACACCATGGTGGTTCGCACTTATTTTATTTATCTATTTTTTAAACTTCTCCACTACTTTTATTTTTAATGACTCTGTTTTAAAAAAGTCATTTGCAAAAGTAATATTGCGTATATGAATTATCTGTGTAAAAAATATTGTCAACCAACCAGCAATTAAAATTCTTTATTCCTTCTTTCATTTTACTACTTTTGTATTGCTAATGGAATTTAAGTTTTTCTTTTATTTATTCATTCATTTTCTGGTTTTTAACTAATGAAATTTATAATTTTTCAGCTCATATGTTACTCATAGCTAGTTTAGTATCCGCTAAAATGTGTTATTATCGCGGATATTCATAAAATTTCCAAGTTGTTTAAGGAATACATATAACAATTACCTATTATGAGGTACAAACTAAGAAGTCTGTTAACGAAACTAACTAACTAACTAACTAACTAACTAACTAACTAACTAACTAACTAACTAACTAACTAACTAACTAACTAACTAACTAACTAACTAACTAACTAACTAACTAACTAACTAACTAACTAACTAACTAACTACTAACTAACTAACTACTAACTAACTAACTAACTAACTAACTAACTAACTAACTAACTAACTAACTAACTAACTAACTAACTAACTAACTAACTAACTAACTAACTAACTAACTAACTAACTACTACTACTAACTAACTACTAACTAACTAACTAACTAACTAACTAACTAACTAACTACTACTAACTAACTAACTAACTAACTACTAACTAACTAACTAACTAACTAACTAACTAACTAACTAACTAACTAACTAACTAACTACTAACTAACTAACTAACTAACTAACTACTAACTAACTAACTAACTAACTAACTAACTAACTAACTAACTAACTAACTAACTACTAACTAACTAACTAACTAACTAACTACTAACTAACTAACTAACTAACTAACTACTAACTAACTAACTACTAACTAACTACTAACTAACTAACTAACTAACTAACTAACTAACTAACTACTAACTACTAACTAACGAACTAACTACTACTACTAACTACTAACTAACTAACTAACTAACTAACTACTCTAACTAACTAACTACTAACTAACTAACTAACTAACTAACTAACTAACTAACTAACTAACTAACTACTAACTAACTAACTAACTACTAACTAACTAACTAACTAACTAACTAACTAACTAACTAACTAACTAACTAACCAACTAACTAACTAACTAACTAACTAACTACTAACTAACTAACTAACTAACTAACTAACTAACTAACTAACTACTAACTAACTAACTAACTAACTAACTAACTACTAACTAACTAACGACTAACTAACTAACTAACTAACTAACTACTAACTAACTAACTAACTAACTACAACTAACTAACTAACTACCTAAACTTAACTAACTAACTAACTAACTAAGTCTAACTAACTACTAACTAACTAACTAACTAACTAACTAACTAACTAACTAACTAACTAACTACTAACTACTAACTAACTAACTAACTAACTAACTAACTAACTAACTAACTACTACTAACTAACTACTAACTAACTAACTAACTAACTAACTAACTAACTAACAACTAACTAACTAACTAACTAACTACTAACTAACTAACTAACTAACTAACTAACTAACTAACTAACTAACTAACTAACTACTAACTAACTAACTAACTACACTAACTAACTAACTAACTAACTACTACTAACTAACTAACTAACTAACTAACTAACTAACTAACTAACTAACTAACTAACTAACTAACTAACTAACTAACTAACTAACTAACTAACTAACTAACTAACTAACTAACTAACTAACTAACTAACTAACTAACTAACTAACTAACTAACTAACTAACTACTAACTAACTAACTAACTAACTAACTAACTAACTAACTAACTAACTAACTAACTAACTATAACTAACTAACTAACTAACTAACTAACTAACTAACTAACTAACTAACTAACTAACTAACTACTAACTAACTAACTAACTAACTAACTAACTACTAACTAACTAACTAACTAACTAACTAACTAACTAACTAACTAACTAACTAACTAACTAACTAACTACTAACTAACTAACTAACTACTAACTAACTAACTAACTAACTAACTAACAACTAACTAACTAACTAACTAACTAACTAACTAACTAACTAACTAACTAACTAACTAACTAACTAACTAACTAACAACTACTAACTAACTAACTACTAACTAACTAACTAACTAACTAACTAACTACTAACTAACTAACTAACTAACTAACTAACTAACTAACCTAACTAACTAACTAACTAACTAACTAACTAACTACTAACTAACTAACTAACTACTAACTACTACTACTAACTACTACTAACTAACTAACTACTACTACTACTAACTAAACTTACTTACTACTAATTTTAATCCAAAGTTTTTTTTTCACAAATGCCCCTTTCATCCCACTAAGTGACCATGGAAATGGTCTTTTGAGTGAAAGAAAAATTCAAAAAAAATAGGCCATTTGAAAAAATAGGGAAAATTAAGTGCCTAATATAGAAAAAAAATTATTCTTAAGTTAGAAAATAGTTTTTTTTTGATGGATATTCCACTCGCAACCCACTATGGGACTAAAAATCCCTCAAAGGAAATTGTATAAGCTTTCTTTTAAGCAAAAAAAAAAAAAAAAAAAAAAAGAACCATTTTGAAAAAAAAAATTAAAAAAAAAATATTAAAAAAATTTTCAAAAAATTTGGAAAGAAGGAAGTAATAGCTATCTGAACTCCTTTGGACAATTTTTGCTAGGACCAATAGGAAAAGTTACACTCATTTGAGTAAAACCCTGTATGACCAAAATATCTAACTTTGACCCCCTCTAAGTCCGGCAGTTCTTGACCGATAGAGCTTTGTGTCCGGCCTATTATCCCATAGTGCAAATTTCATCTAAATCGGAAGACATCGATTTTTATAGTTGGGTTCCCCATATACATATATACATATAAATATATATATACTAATTTTAACGTAATATTTATGAAAATTTCATTATAATATGAAACATTATTCTATCACACCCTTTTCTAATTTTACGAATTATCGAAAATCTTTCGTAATACCTTTTTTTGTTATATCCCTTTAGCATTTTGTGAGTTAACTTTCTGCTAACTTATTATGACTAGCTTCAAAGTACTTAACTCAAACTGTATAGTGAGTGAGCACTGACTCGTTCCTATGACATTACATTGCAAAACTGAAGAGTATTTTATAAGTAAAATGATAAGCTTTTCAGTCATCTCTGATTCATTTCTCGTTAACCATAAGTTTTAAGTTAACTCAAAATCCAACTGGAATATTAAGAAACTTGTTTAATAAAAAAATAAAAAAAAAAATGTATAATATAACTAACTCAATTGTCAAAACCGAGTCCTTTCACTGGATCATGAGTAATGACCATATCCATAAGTTATCGCTTTGTTAAAGCTATAAGTATTAAGTGCAATTTTTAAATTTCTTTTCATACTATCCTCGTTATAATTAATACTCATCATTATCTAAAGCATACAAAGGCGACATAAACATGAGCTTTTATACGCATTAGATATTCGTTAGTTAGTACTTAGATATACATTCTTTAGGATACATATAAATGTATGTTCATGTGTGCTGAAATTTGTTTGTAAATATGTGCATTCATATACATACATATGTATGTGGTTGAACAATTTAAAGTGGTCGACACCAAAATCCGCATACTAACATTTCCGCAGTGCTAAAAGAGAGTTTGTATGAGTAGTTATAGTAGTAGTTGCAGTGGTAGTGGAACAAACCTGCTGTTCTAGGTAACTGTTTAGAAAATGCAATTTTATCCAATTTTTGCATTTAAAGAGTAGATTACTTAGTCTGGATAAACTGTTTACTAATATAAATACGAATTTGAAATTGCTCCACGTTACTTAAGAGAGATGATGGACTATTTTGATATATTTAGGAATACTATTAGGAAATCAAGTCTTAATGCCTTTAAAATCTACTGGGTATTCTTTGGCATATTTTTTATAACAAAACTCATTCAAAACCATTCATAGACACAGAGTCATCAGTGATTGTGGAACATTAAAACCAAAAGGATAATTTAAGCGACTTCTAGGCTAGATATAGACTAAACTATTAATTAGACTATAAACTTGACTATATACTAGACTATAGATTAGATTATAGAGTAGACTATAGACTAGACTATAGGCTAGACTATGGACTAGACTATAGACTAGACTATGGACTAGACTATAGACTAGACTATAGACTAGACTATAGACTAGACTATAGACTAGACTATAGACTAGACTATAGACTAGACTATAGACTAGACTATAGTCTAGACTATAGACTAGACTATAGACTAGACTATAGACTAGACTATAGACTAGACTATAGACTAGACTATAGACTAGACTATAGACTAGACTATAGACTAGACTATAGACTAGACTATAGACTAGACTATAGACTAGACTATAGACTAGACTATAGACTAGACTATAGACTAGACTATAGACTAGACTATAGA